GGGGGGGGGGGTGTGGGGGGGGGGTTGAACGGATAATTGAGGGTTCCAGCGAAGGAGTCCAAGGGTATGACTGGGTGGAGTGGGGGACTGTGAGGGGATAAGTTGGGTGTCAGGACAGGGGAACTGGGATGGGTAAGGGGAAGAGAGGAGCAGGAGGGGGCCAACATAGATGTCATGGAGCAGGAGACTTAGGGAGAGTGTGAGGCACATGGGTGAGAGACCTGAGGTAGGAACTGGGGATGGCTCCAGCGAAGGAGTCCAAGGGTATGACTGGGTGGAGTGGGGGACTGTGAGGGGATAAGTTGGGTGTCAGGACAGGGGAACTGGGATGGGTAAGGGGAAGAGAGGAGCAGGAGGGGGCCAACATAGATGTCATGGAGCAGGAGACTTAGGGAGAGTGTGAGGCACATGGGTGAGAGACCTGAGGTAGGAACTGGGGATGGCCCAGGGAGGAGATTTGGGGAGGGGGAGCATCAGTTGTGTGTGTTTTGAGGAGGGGGGGGGGAAGTGGAGAGTTGAGTCTGAAGAGCTAGAGGACAGAGATGAGAGAATAGTGAAAATGCAAGCTGGGCAGTCCCATGCAAATGGGGAGACTTTGGGGGGAGTTGTGGGGACAGGGGGAAGGCCTCAGTGGGATAAGGGAGAAGTTGTGGTTAAATGGTGAAAAGGTGTGAAGAGGCTTATGGAAAGGAGGGATGATGATCTACATCTCCCTTGATGATGAGAAAAGGTCATGAAGGTGGGGGGAGGGCATGGACTGTGCATTTACCTTTCTGCAGAGGGAGGATGGCATAAATGGGTCTTAGGGTTGTAATTTTTCCCTTCAGTTCATAATCGTATTCAAGCCCTGCTCCCAAACACTTGCCCCACTCCAAAGAAAGAGGTGGCAGTAGAATGTGTTTGTGAGCGTGCACACATGGCTGGACTGCACATATTATGAAATACAAGCTAAAGAAAATCTGTCAGTACATGTGAGAGAGATCCTGGCCACACTGCACTAATGTCAATTCTCTCAATGGATGGTATGATGTCTAATAGTTAAGTGTTTGTGCTGGATGCGTGGACTCTTGGGTACTAGCTCTTGGAGGAGAGTGGTGTCTAATTGGGATCCACTCTAATCTCTTGCTGCTCTAGGGTGGGAGCTGGGTCTAGTGGTAGACTAGGAGGGAAACCAGGAACTGGTTACTCGCTGAGTGACCTTGAATCATTGCTTCCCCTATGCGTGCCTTAGTTTCCCCATCTATGTAATGGGGAAAATGCCTGTTTCATTGCAGTGAAGAATTGGAAAGTTCTTTGAATGCTACTGTGGAAATGGGCTAAAGAAATGCAAACCATATGAGACACAACTCTCTTCAGACCTGCTACTAAAGATGTATCTGCACTCATATTATGCTACTTTAACTGTACCAGTATATTAACTCAGTACAGTTCTCCAGTTTTGATGTAGTTAGACCAATAGAAACTTGTTTATATGGCAAAGAGTGTTGCCATATGGAAATGGAACTAAGCTATACTGGTGTAAGGCACCTTTGTTGTGATATAATTGTGTCCACACTGCACATGTACCTGTAAAACAAAATCACAACCGTAATGGAGAGGGCTACACTGGTACAAAAACTAAGTTTAAAAATATTAATGCAAGTGGGAAGATATATTTTAGAGCAAGCTAAAAAGATAAGTTTATTAATGGATTTCTATGCTTTAAGAATACTCTTTCTTTGTCAAGTTGCTCTTACACATTCTGCCACAAAAGTGGCAACAGACTTTTGTGTTTGACTCAGATTCAGGGGTAAAGTTTTAGAGCAATCTCTCTATTTAAAACCAATAAAGTATTTTTTTCTGCTTGCTGTCCACTTCAGAGATGCAGTATTGAATGGGAATAAGACTGGCTCAGGTAACCTAGCTCCAAGAGCAAACTCTCAGAAATGATAGATACACTCCTGAACTGAAATGTTTTGATTTTTCTCTCCCTGGGACTCAATCACATGTATAGTGAAAATTGTAGGGAAGAGGCTATATCGATATCTATGGAAGAATGAAAACTTTTGTGGGTATCGATTCTATGAGGGGAGGGGTTTTTTTTGGTGTATAACCAAGGAATCTGTTCAGCATTTTAAATTTTGATTCTTTCCCTGCGTCTAGTTGTACTTTGGGTACCAGGGTCTATTTAAAAATATGTACATCCCCCAACTCTCTTCAATTTAAATCTCTGAAAATAAACTTTATGAAGCCCACTGGAGTCTTTATTTTCATTGGCCTTTATTTCTTATAGTGGTGTGGATGTCTTAAAAATAGACTGAGTTATTTAATTTGAATAAGAGGCTTTTGCATCTGAGCTACGTTCACTAATTCTTCATGTGTTCTAGAGACTAGAGGATGGCATGGAGTCAAGGCTGCTGAGTTGTATTCCTAGCTCTTGGGAAGGGAAGCATGGTCTATGAGTTAAATCAGGGTGCTTGGTTTCTATTCCTAGCTTTGGTAGGAGTGTAGGGCGTAATGTGTTGGGAAGTAGAGTTGGGACTTGAGACTCAGTTCTAGCCCTGGGTTTGGGAAGAGAAAAGAAGAAATACTTTAAAAATGCTGGACAGTTTGTTTTTCTTTTGGCCACATTTTTGTAGTAGGGTAGTGTTTCTTCCTTCCTCCCCTCTCCAAGTAAATCACTCTTCTATGTGGTAAATGGTTTCTGAGGTGAAAAGGTATTAAGTCTTTATTTTAAAATTGTGTTCAAGATGTATGTTTGGATCTGACTATAGATACCTTATCAGAATGCCATTAAACTTTACCAGCAGGGCTGATTGTTGAAGCAGCTTTGGGAAAGTTGCAGGTTTTAAGACTCATAGGTAATTCTGAGAGAAACAAGCTAAGTTAACTTCAGCCCCCTCCCCATACTCCAAACCCTATCTTGTCAATTTAGATCACTGCAGCATTAGCAGGATTTTCAATAATAGTGCATCATCCATGTGGATGTTCCTTTCTCCAAAGTATTAGAATTTGAGGTAACACTTCCCAGATCCCTGATTTCTAGGTGACATGAGCCAAGTAAGCGTGCTGTGTTGCTTCCTTATTTAGCTAGCTTAAAGTTCAAGTACTGCATAGATGCCTTGTGTGTTTTGCTTGGTGCTTTCTGGAAGCATCAGCTAAGTGGAGGATATTGATGTGTGACCTTAATCTGGCCCATCAACAGACAGTACTCTAGCTGGCCCAAACCATCAATGTAACATTGAAGCTAGATTTTGCTATACAAAGCTTGCCCATGGTCTTTCTGAATCTGTGGTAGATCATAATGGAATTGCATCCTTCCATGGTTGAGCTGTTTACTCAACAATTGGTGCCAGGTGTTTTTTTGGTACCAGCCTCCTTTCCTTTAGTGTCAGACAGGTGTTTATTTTTCCTGTGGTTTGTCCCAATAAACATTTGTGTCTGGCCAAAGGGAAATCTCTTTCTTGCACTCCACTGTCTGGATGGCAGATGAGATTGGAAATTAGTCTTTTACTTCTAGGTCAACAGTTCCCATCTGGCCTGCAGTCAGGAACAACTGAGTCATTCCCATCTGATGGTCTTTTGGTGGACCCCGTGGAATGATTTGTTGATCTCATCCTTGGTCCCCAGTGAGAAAATGTTCACATTACAGAAAGAACCTCTAGCACTGGTGCTTGGCTTCCTTGTTGAGAGGCTGAAGATTAACTAAGCCATTTCCCTCTTTGTCTAGTATCATGATGGCTGGAAACCACGTGGAAAGCTTGCCTACTGCTATCCATGTTCTTGGAACAGGAAGAAAGAAGATAGACTATGCCAACCTGCACTTTAAGGAGATTAAAAGTCACCTTTCTGCATTAGAATAAAGATGGTCTCCAAATCAGAGTGGAGAATGCAAGCTACAGTACACTTCACCGTAACTTAAGTACTAAAATAAGGGATAGTTAAGGGTGAACTTACCATTTGCCATAATGATCTATTAAACTACTGGCAATCTTGCCCTGACTGGCCCCAGTCAGAATGGATCAAATGAAATAAGTGCTGAAGTTTGCTAATCAGGACATGAGTCTGCTGTGAGCCCATGCTTTCAGTTCACTGGGAGGAGTTTTGAATCAATCATGGGTGAAAGGAAGTTCATTCCACTGAGTCTATTTTAGTGTCCTCAAGGAAAGTATCCATATCTGCTTTCCCTGGTGTCAGGCAGCATAAAATTGTGCATGCAAGGGATTTGGGTTTTCCCGTTGACAGGGATTTGGGTTAGGCAATTTCAGGAATACAACTTTTAGTGTGGTCTGTGAAAACGAGGTGTATGAGAGGTTCTGCTGTCATGTGTTTATGTAGCTTACTGCCTGGCAGCTTTCCTGCCTCATTTCTCCTTGGTTCATGTGCAGACTGAACATGTTTGCCAGGCACGTGTCAGGAGAAATGGTGTCCTGATTTGAACTTGGGTGGTTTATTATTTTATGTGAGCATTAAGGTTAAGCATAGTATTGGCTCACACCCACCAGTATTTAGTAGCTTGCAGACCCTGCTAAACTTTACAGCACTGCAGAAAACAAATGCCTTATGGCAGAATTTCCAAGCATGATTGCAGCAGAGTGAGTAGGGGACCAGGGTAAAATTACTATTGTGATCCCTAAGTGATGGTGATCTGAGTTAGATTCCCAGTATTGATTTCCCCAAACCACCAGTGCTATGGGGGACAAGTTCACATGTTTCATAAAGCAATTTCTTCATCTGGATGATCAGCTCCAAAGCAAATGCTGGCCAGGATGCAGGGCTGCGTGTGCAGCAATTCTGAGGCTGTGAAGCAACCATAAATCCAACAGATTGTACAGCAACAGCTGTGCTAACTGCATAGCTCATCTTCCGCCAGATGTCATTGTTTGCCTTTCTCCTCTTGTTCTGAAAATCTTTACAGCAAATATGCTTCTGTAGAGGTGTGTTGCAGGGCTTACCTTTTTCCCACTATGTTTTCATCTTATCCCAATATAATGCTTTCCTTGAAAGTACCCAGAGTGCCTGCATGTGCTTCATAAATATTAAAAGATAGTCGTTTTTTATTTTAAAAAGGAAAACTTTAAACAGCATATGAAGGAAGTCTAAACTGTGTACATTATAATAAACAAGTAATTTCTTCTGCTTTGGGGAAATAGTAAAATTATTTGATAAATTCCTAAAATTAAGCTGGTTGTTTCTCACAGATCTAAACCTTAGATTATGGTTTTTCATGCTTGTGGGTCTCTGCTAGTGAAAAGGATGTCTGCTCAACCATTTGTGGGCAGTATTTTAAAATAAAACTAATATAAAATATTTGCATTGATAGTTCAACAAAAAAAGCCCCAACAGCCTACCTTAGTATAAAACAGTTTTCATTGGAAGCAGCTATAAAATGGCTTTTTAAAGTACCAAGTCTGAATTTCTGTGGTCTGTGTTGCAGTAACAAGAACTGTATTGCTGAACAATATCTGATCTGTTTCAGTCATAAAACTTGGCATGATGTAGGAATGGGGAGACAGCAGCCACTGGCTTCTTTCTGCAGCATTGCGTGCAGTTGTCCTCTAATGCCCCATGGAGACTACAGATCTCCAAGTGCAATAATGTGTCTTGATCAATGCAAATGATTCTTGGACCATTGCATATTGAGATATGTAGTCTTTTGGGCCAGATTGGCAGATTAATTTTATGCCCATTAATGCCCTTGAGTTCCAGACAAGGTGAGGGTTGTCCTACTGTAACCCTGAGTCATTCTGTTTCAGAGAAAGTCAAGTAAAGCCAAGGAGAAGAAACAGAAGCGACTGGAGGAACGGGCTGCCATGGATGCTGTATGTGCTAAGGTAGAAGCAGCCAATAAAGTAAGTATCTCCTCTGCCCTCCCACCCCTCCATAAGTATTTACTTCACCACACTATAATTTGAGAACTAGCTGGCCTTGAGATTTGTAATTGGGGTACATTAAGACTGGTACTTGAGACCCAATCTTCCCTAGTGGGTTTGGGCCAGGGTGGATCGATTTAAATCAAGGAGATTTAAATAACTGATTTAAATCATCAACAAAAATTGATTTAAATCAAGTTTCACACTGATACTACTTCACCTCCCTTCTCCATGCTCCATGGGAGCTGCAAGCCATGCAGCCTCCCCCGTTCTCGGACCTGTCCCAGCGAGGCCTGGCGTGGCCTGAGTTGTGTGGCTCCCGGGGCATTTGGCTTCCCCCCTCCCCGGTGTTCTGGGGAAGGGACTGTGTTCCCTTTCCCCCGCCCCCTTCACAGGCCAGAGGTTAACTCCTCCCCCACATGCTGCCGGCCCCTGAACATCGGTCCAGCAGTTGCCATGTGAGTGGGCAGCTGCCGGAATTTAAATTGAACCGTGCAGCTCCTCTGCTGTCCGGGGCAGGGAAGGAGAGATGTGGAGGGGCTGGAGAGGGGGGACATG